CTACTTTAAGTTTTTAAAAATGTTTGAGACACGTATCATGCTAAAGTCTATAACATGAAGACCCTTGGATGATCGAGTCAGATGCCTCGGATTCAAAGTCCTCTTCATGTACTTAAGGCTCGTGGCGCACTACACGTACCTTTACTCATTAAGTATTTTAATATTTTCTTAAGAAAAAGGTTTTAATTTTACATACATGCAATGCAATAACTAAACCTAAAGTTAAGGGAATTCAATCCTATTTGTTGTCATGCAAGTGTGGACCTAAAGTTAGGATATATGAAATTCTACCTAATGTTATCATGCTTGATTTACAAACCTAGGGTCTACTTTCGATTCAACCTTAACCAAAGTTGAACTAAAATTCCTAAGGAAGCATGGCATCTTAGAGACAAAGAGAGTGTACAAGTAACACAAAGTATACCTAGACAAGAAATAGGCAAGCAATCACACAAACATGAAGAATGTACAAGTAACACCATGGATATCTAAATAAGTAATGGGAATGCAATGAGAAGCAATCATGACATGCTAAAAGATAAGGTCAAGGGACGATGCCTAAACCTGAATTAGGCATCAACTAATCCTAAACAAGTAATAGGACGAGAATGATATCCTGACAAGCATATGTGAGATGTAAGATATCTTAAACATACACTAGGATGAGAATGCTATTAGGACAAACATACAAAAGAAATGAATTATCATAATTATGCCATAGAATAAGAATGATATCATGACAAACATACAAGACAATTGAACAATCCTAATCATGCCAAAGGATAAGGAGAATCAAGACATCACAACAAAGGTTACCTAAACATGCATTAGGCTAAGGTGAATCAGGACATCACAATAATGGTTATCTAAACATGCATTAGGCTAAGTGAATCAGGACATCACAACAATGGTTACCTAAACATGCATAAGGCTAAGTGAATTAGGACATCACAACAATGGTTACCTAAACATGCATTAGGCTAAGGTGAATAAGGACATCACAATAATGGTTACTTAAACATGCATTAGGCTAAGGCGAATAAGGACATCACAATAATGGTTACTTAAACATGCATTAGGCTAAGTGAATCAGGACATCACAACTGGAATTCTGGTATCAGATATATGATGTCGAAGGAGATGTTACGACACAAATATCTGAGGATAATGTAAAGTGCAACAATAATAAAAGCAGTAAAAATACAGAGGATTGTTAACCCAGTTCAGTGTACAACAACACCTACTCTATGGGCTACCAAGCCAGGGACAAGTCCACTAAATAGTATCAATTCATAGACCCTCAGTAAACAACCAATTTACGATCTAATCACTTAATCACTACCCGTGCTATACTTCTACCTAAGACACGCCTATGTATGAGGCCCTCCTCAAATCCCTTCAATCACTAACAGTGAAGAACAACAAAAATATTAAGTTTTAAAGACTTCAATCATTCAATACTTAAAAGCTTATGAATGATCCACAATTAACAACTCAAATTACAACTCAAGTATTAAACCAATACTTAGAGTGTATTACAATTAAAAGACTTATACTTCTAAAACATAAAGAATATATTCTTTTTCAAAAGTTGCAGTCATACGGATAAGAATGCAAGTCCTTATAAAGGCGCAACAGTGGGCTTGGGCTGAAAAACAAATATTCCAATCTTTTGAATATTTCCATGAAAATAGGTCAAGATATAACCCATAAGGATAATGCAAATAGAAAAATATTCCTCCATATTTTTCGCAACCTCTGAGTCACAAATCTTGAATAATGGCGCGCATAAAAACAAGAAACAAAAAACTTAAATCAGATATGAAGTTCGTTAAGCTCAGGAGGCAGATGTCAAGACATCTGCTTTGACATCATTCAAAACAGTTTGCTTCAATTGTCAAGACATTTAGCAAAACATTATCAAGTCATTATTTTATCAAAATTGCTGTCAACAAACACTTACAAAAATAATGGTTACATAAACATGCATTAGGCTAAGTGAATCATCAATCATATGACCTCAAGATAAACAAGATAAGAGTCATTTAAATTCACAAGTAGCATGGCAACAAGCTTGCACATTCATATTTCAAGGCATCGTGAAAGCCATCAAAAAATCAACTCCTAAACTATGTCAAAAAGTTGATAAACCAACATCGATTTGTATTCACAAAGAGATTAATCAAACAATGACCAAAAAATATCAAATGGTCAAAGAAAAATTATTCAAGTCAGATTAGAGGTTCACATATCAAGTCATGAATTTTCCCCTAATTTATTGTACAAAATGCATGCCTAAAATAAATGATAAACAAGCATTATTCAATAATTAGGCATATAATTGAAGCATGGTAAAACATACATTAAAATGTACCGAATACCAATTAAATGAACATCAAAGTATTATGAATATATTGGACTATTTTTCATCTAAACATGTACAAAAATTCAGCCTCAAATTTGTTCAAACGATCATTTCAATTAGATCCACAAAAATGATATGTGTATCAAAAAATTGGTCTCAAATTAAATCAAACAAATTGAGAAAAAATAAAATAAAAATACTGTAACTTAGTCAAGTCCCTAAATTAATCAAAAATTATTTTTTGGGATTTTTTACAAGCTTAAAAAAAATTAAATTGCAAGCTATTTTGATCATGTATCAAAAATTTGTATTTACCACTTTCAGGGGGTGTAACAATAATTTTGCCTATAAACTAAAATTATTGAAACGGCTCTTTGATCCATTTGCAGGGGGGGGGGGGATATGAATCTCTAGATAGACCTTTTTTATTTTGCATCCACTAAGTCTTTTTTGGCATTAGAATTGACAAAGGGGAGAGGGCGTGGATATAAATTTCTATATAGGTCTTTTTTGTTTTGAGCACACTAAACTCGAATTTGGATTTCAAACTTACAGAATCTTGCTCAAACACGCCATACGAACGCATTCTTAGGAATTTGAGATTTGCATAACATCATAAAAAAATCACACCAATATCTAAGCTATGCCAACAAACATTGCCCTTGAGAGAGGGGCTCAAATGCAACTATTTTTATATGATCCTAGCAAAAAATAAAAACCTAGCAGGATGCGTGCAAGAGAGATAAAAGAGATTTAAGTGATACATAATGGAGAAAATTCGTTGTCTCTTCAAAACCACGCAAGCGATACGAAAACTCTATCAAAAACCTTCTTGATAAAAATTATGCTCTTAGCTAGCTTCAAAGCCTCATGAAATCTTCAACAAAATCATCCCACAACCATGTCAACACATATCACGGATTGAACACCACTATCACGCACAAATGACATCAAGATACCTCAAATAACAATCCAAAAATTAACATAATAATTGATCATAATTTTTTTAAACTAATTTCTTAAAATCCCCAAATATTTCCCACTATTTTTCTTCATCCATTTCTATCATAAAAATTAGGACAAGAAAATTAATTGGAAAACACACATAATTCTAAAATGAAGGGGGTGATGATTGGATCAGGGGTGTGGTTCAGCAACAATGGCGCTAGGGACCAACTAAAAGGTATGGAAATTCTTTTTGTTGTGTCAATGGCCTCCAAAAAATGTGTGGGCCCAGAGATTCGGTCCACCAAACAATATCATAGCCCGATCTTCCATTATCAGCTTTCATTTTAATTCTAAAAAAACGATGGGAGTTGGGGTGAAGAAAAAGGAAGACAATTGAGTTTCATCGTGAAGAATTCCCTCCTCCACAACTCACGGCGGTGCAATTCGGCCTCACTGTTCCACCATTTTCCTCCGCTCATCTCTTCGAGCTTTGATTTTCTTCAAGAATCTCCGCCCTCGCTGCTCAACCTTCGTTCACGCCCCGCCTCAATGTTCGTCTTCATCGATCACGGCCGCAGATTCAAACGTCTTCTCCTCACTACCGGAACGAGGATTCCCTGTATTTTATTGAAAAAATGAATACGGAGACCGGTTGGAAGAGAGAACCAAAGATATTAGGTTCCAGGTAAATTCTCGAATCTCGCTTCTGCGACTTCGATCTCTCTACTTTTTCTTCTTTCTTGTTCTCTCTTTGATTTCGATTCAATTCGTCTTCTCCTTTTCTTCTTATATACTCGTATGTATTAATGTGTTTCTTCTGAGATGTTGTTGTTGACGTGCGCGTGTTGATGTTGTTGTGCAGAAGAAATACCAAGTGTGAACGGTGATGATGATGATGAATTTGTTGGAGTGTTGCGATATTCGTTGATGAAGGTTGTGCGAGTTGATGCGTGAAGATGAAATCGTTGAGAGTAGAAGATGATTGAAGGTACTGCTTTGGAGTTTGTTACAGAAGCTTGAAGGATTCGATGAAATTTGAAGGAGATTCAACTCGGTTCTGAGAGAGATAGAGAGATTCTGGTGAGTATTCGTGAAGTTTTTGGTTTTTTTCTGTGAATTTTTGTAGAGTGAATCGTGAGTTTCTAAATGTGTAAACAATGAATCCTTCCCCCTTTGTGAATCTCAATTCTGTTATATAGATTGTTGGATCTGTGAATGTTAGTTAGAAGATGATTGAATCTTGACCATAGATTGAGGATTTCTGTTAGAGAAATCAAGGGTTGGATTTGGAGTTTGAGAGTTAGTTGGACTTGGTTAAAACTGTTATTTTGTAAAACAGAAATTCTGTTAAAGTGTTAGTATGAGATGAGGAAGTTAGTTATTGACAGTTAGAAATGGTTGGTTTAAAACCTGTTAGAGATTAGAGGGTTAGTTGAGGGCAGAAAATTGGTAATAAGTCAGTTGCCGTTGTGAAGGTTTGTTCCCATTGTTAAGAGCTTGGGACTTTCCTGATATTTTTGATGTTTGGATAACTTGTTAGTTGTTGTGAATTCTTGTTAAATCAGTTTTGACATGTGAATGCAGGGCTGCTTATTGATGAATCGGTTTGGCATATTTCAAGCCACAATTTGATGTCAAGGTTGCAACTTTGGTGTCATTTGGAGAGAGGAAAATAGCCTTACGAACTTTAAGTTAAAAATGCCTTGTAACTTTTCTCTGTGGATTCTTGATGTATTGGGATGTATCTTGGCTTTTGGTTGTAATTGGCAAAGTCTTCGTCATGAACTTGATATTGGTATAGGAAATTGTACATGAATTTTAGACTTTGTAACTTGGTTTGAAATAACAGAACAATTCCCTCTACTTTGTATATTTGGAAATTGGATTTCATCCTAAATAAAATGTTAAACTGTGAATAAGAATCCTCTTAAAGTCGGCTTTGACCCAATATCAACATTCTCATTAGTGCACCTTATATCCCTCAGTGATTCAATGCCAGCTCTTAACTCATATGAGAACTTCCTGAATAGAACACACAACGTACCACAAACAAAAGAAGATGCTCATTTTGATACCAAAGTTCAAGATACTCATTTAGATACCAAAGTTCAAGATACTCATTTTGATACCAAAGTCACCCGCCCTATGTATTTTTTTGTACTCTCAAGTGTCCCACATTATCTTACTCTTCAAGCGTACCAATTGAAGGCCTTAAATCAACTTGAGTGAACCAATGAGGCATGTAGGGACATCTTGAAATGTTGTGCCTCGTGAAGTCAGGATTTGGTCAAAAAGTCAACCTTAGGTTGATTTTGATCAGAAACCCTAATTTTGAGGAAACAGTTAGATAGAAGCTTGTGGTCCATCCAACCCCTTGAAACCCTAATCATCTGATAAACTTGATCCCATAGCACAAGAACCAATGTCATGCATGTATGAAAATAATAAAGAATATGAGCCACTTAGAGTTATAATTAAGAGGGCAAATTTTGGGGTGCAACAGTACCTACAAAACAGAAAAAAGAAGAAGGGGATTAGAAGTCAGAGATCGAAAGAGAAAAAAAGAGTTTAGGAGAAGATACATTGCAGGCGAGGTAAATCACTTAGCTTGCATAAAGTTTGTTGTTGGTGTTGATTTCTATTTTTTTTGTTTTAGGATTAGGGTTCATCATTGTTTGGGTTCTAAGTGTTAGGGTTCTAAAGGGTTAGGTTTAGGATTCATCAAAATTTGGAAAAATGAGGAAGTTCCCAACGAACATTCGTCATCTACGGCGGCCTCTAAGGCCGCTCATGGTATCTTAGGGTTAGGGTTCCTAGGGTTTGGGGTTTCTGGGTTTACAACGGTTAAAGGTTTGAAGTTTCCGGTTGAAGGTCAACCGAAAAGTGGGGAACACAATGGTGTTTGGGGTGGCATTGCCAGCAGGGTGATTCCCGACGGGCTAAAGTTTATGAGAATTTTTAGAGAGCGAGAGTGAGATAAGAGAGAGAGAGAGAGAGAGAAAGAAACACGAAAAATAAAACTTTGAGAAGAGAACAAGATTATATACTCCCACGGCCCTTCGTTAAATGTGTGATGTCTGACCATCTATTGGCCACACGATGAGAATACATTGACTTGATTCTACACATGCTTCCCCATCATACACTCCAGTCAACTTTCGATCTTGTCCTTCCGTTTGATATACTTTTAATCAATGTCCCAAGATTTACTCCTGGTGGCCTTTTGATCAGAATCAAACAACCCCTGCTTCCCCAGTACACCATAGTTGCCATAGGATTTCCCACACATTGCCTAAATGGATTCAAATCTGTCCTTGGGCTTAGCCCATTACTTTTTGCACACCCAGGTTGTGCTACTCCAAACTGCAGCGCAACCCCATCCGTTTTGTCATTTAGTTATTTATTTTTCTTCTATATATTTTTTTTAATTTCCTTGTATTTCTTTTGTTACTTTTTATATATAATCTATGTAAATTATTGTTATGTGTTCTATTAATAAATTATAATATATTTTTTTCTATAATATTATAAAATTCTTCTTTTTAAAGCAATATTTTTAAATACTAACCTTGTTTTAAATTCTAACCTCCATTTTAATTAGTCATATTAATTGGCATTTTTGTAAAACAAAACAATCTTTTTTTATAATTAAAATTTATTTTCTACAATCTAAATTTAAGATTAATATTTTATTAGTAAAAAAATTTTGATAAAAATTCCTTTATATAACTAAAAATATTTTACTAACCCTAATACATATTCAGTCATTTACTTATCTATTTTCACATTATTTTCAAAACTCAAATTAAAACTTAATCAAAACAGCTAACCAATCAAAAAACATTTTTTACTAACATAATCAAACTCAAGATATTTTCAATAAAAGATTGTTCGGTTTCTTTCTACTTGAATACAAAAAATTCTCCTACCATCACTCAACTTTCAAACTCAGGCAAGTTCAAAATCATTCTATAGCAACTTAACACAATCTTATAAAAAACACTAACCAAACACATTCGAACTACGAAGAACTCTGATTTATTATAATGAAGATACGTAGGCACATGGTTAAAATATCAAGGCGAGTCCACTAACTTAAAAACTTACTTTTCCCTTATTTTATTTTTTTTCCTATACATGATAATATGATAATTAAATAAAGAAAAATTTCCTCTAAGTCCTAGGTCTAAAAAGGACCCCCTTGAGTAAAAAGGACCCCCTTTATCTAATCAACTCTCGAATCCATCAATCTCTAAACAATTAGGTTTTTTCGTTCTTTTCCCGTCTTTAAGACAAATAAGTAGTGGTGGAGACTCTCTTATTTTTCCGATTACAACAATCTCCTTTTTCATAAATAAAACCAACCAGCCAACCAACATTTTAGTTCACCTAGAACTACATATGTCTTGAGTTCCTCATTGCACGGGGTTATGTAGGCCTGAGATCTAATGTCTTGTCAAAAAACCTTTTTTCTTTTTTTCAACCGTGTTGACAACCTACAACTCTTCCTTTAACACTCGTCCGTGTTGAAGTAGACACTCGTTCGTGTCATTCAAACCAATTTTTTTAGGTAGTCAGAGAACTATGTAAACTCTTACTTTCACATAGCACTTGGGGAATACGTAGGCACAAGATGCAAAGTCTTGGCGAGCCCAATAATAAAAAACCAAAAAAATTTTCCTTTCTTTCTTTTCTTTCTCGCATAATAATTTAGATGCAAGTAAACACCACGCTAACATTCGATCACGAGAGTAACTAAATGGGTACCACTGAGTACAACGGATGTGAGGGGTGATATTACTTTCCCCTTGCATAACCAAATCTTGAATCCTAATTTGGTTGCGATGACCATCTTATCCATTTCTCGTTTGTTTGTGGGTTTTATCGATCTTTTTCCTTTCCTTTTTGTAATAAATAAAATTGGGTGGCGACTCTATTGTATTTCAAGTGTGCGATGCACTTGAGTATTTTTCTTGCTGCGACACTGTTGGCTAGGATTTCTGATACAGATTAAAATCCAACCAAAATCCAAAAGGTGCTTTGAGAACATTGAATTATGATAAGTCGACCACAGAAGCATTCGACCGGGAGAGATTTCATAAGTAGTCAATTGGGCTTGTGGGCACCGTCGACCAGAAAGAGGCCTAATGAGGAATGGATTGGGCCCAAGAACGTTAAAAAGCCAAAGAGTGCATAACTAGCAAAGTAAAGTGTTATAAATGGAGAACATGGGTTCGATAGCAATAATGGAGAACGTGGAATCATGGAGAGAAGTTACCAGAGAGACGTGGTGTACAAGGAAGTAAAGCCCACCAGAAAGTAGTTATTTTTCATGTATTATAAATAAAGCACTCAGTGCATAGTGTAAAGGGTTCAAACTTTCACATTCTTATACGCTAGTCACTCAGAGTACCCACATGAACACGCGAAATGAGTCAAGCTAGGGCAATGTACATATGAACAAACCTATTTTCAATTGTTTTGATGTTATGTCATTTATATTTACAGTTTAAAACATCTTTTGTTTTATTTTACAAGTCTTGCTTTATTGCTTACAAAATCATTTGGCACTAGTAGAACAAATCTTTTTGAACATACTTTGTGAAAACACTCGAAAACTAAAGCACGATACTGAGATTCCCTGGTCGATCTCGCCAGTAAACTTTTTGTTAAGAGACCAGAGTTGTTTACCAAAAGCAGAGGTGAACAAATTGGCACACCTGGTGGGACCGTGCTAATAATTTCATATTTGTGTTTGGTTTTGCAAAGTTTCTTGTAGTTTAGTTGGTGTGTGTATGAATTTAAGAAGTGGTAAACATTTGTCAAAGTCTAAAATTCCACGCTCTGACACAAACACTGCACATACGCAGATTTCTACACAAAATGTGGATGTCATACCAGTGAGTGCCACAACTCAAAGCGCGACGATTTTATCTCCTGTGAGATAAACTATTATTCATGGCTCAGTGACAACAGTCACGATGATAGAACCTAGGCATGTGATATCACCATTTGACCCAAATTTACCACTCTTTCCAGGGGGTCTAGGGTCATTATTTGTCCCGTATCAATATGGTATGCCTTATTCCATGATGGCTGGGTTACAATCGAACTCGTCCACATATACAAAAAATGCAGTGGCTATTGGAAACCAAGGCAGTTATGTCCAGGTGGTCAACTAGGTGGTGTTGGTTATATCCCTCAGTCGACACCATATTTGAATAATACTTTTGTCATGGCTTTAAGACAACAAATGGATGAGAGTAATTTAGAGTTAGTAAATGTCTTAACTCAGCAAATAGGAGTTGCTCTTAATCCTGTGCTAGACCAAATAGGCAGATTGATCGACTCATTAGGGGTCCAACCAACACAAACGTGCCACAAGCCATTAAGAGTTTTTGAAGAACTAGAGGGAGGAAACAATGAGCGTATTTTTAGACCTCGATAAGTGGAAGTACCCACTTATGAAGAGGAAGAATTAGTTGAACAATATGAACCTAGGCCGGTCATAGTTAGGAGAAACCAAGATGTTGATCGAGTGTTAAGAAATGCCATTGTTGGGCATAATAACATAGCGAATGTAGTAGAAGAGGTGTTAACGCGACCTGGGGTAAATGTTGGCCTTCATAGGCCTAATTATTTGTCTCCCTTACCTGATTATATTCGACAGACAGAATTACCTAGGGGGTGTAAGGTACCCAAATTTGCCAAGTTTGCGGGTGATGCCAATGAGTCAACCATTGAACACATCGCTAGGTACGAAACAAAAGCTGGTGATATTGCCAATGATAAGGGTTTAAAATTAAGATATTTTCCTAATTCACTGACCACAAATGCTTTTACTTGCTTTACGATATTGTCTCCAAATTTGATACGCACTTGGGAATAACT